GAACTTTTCCATCAATTACTAGTTCATGCATCACTTGATGAGGTTTTTATCAGCGACTGGAAGGCCAGCTCTGTAGTTCTGATGGATAACGACGCATCACGCAGAAAAGCTGAACCTCTGTGAACATTTTACCATCAGCAGTAAAACTTCAGAGAAGCTGAAGGTCAGACACACATCTGATTAGTTTACCTGCTTTGTTTTATTTTATTTATTTATCCTGGATATGATGAGCTGCACTGAGCTTCTGTAAAAACTTTATTTAAACGTGTGAGTGGACTCTGGTCAAAGCTGATGTTGTGTCGTTCTGTTTACAGTTAAATAAAGACTCGAATCCTCTTAAAATCATCACGTTCTGTTTTTATTTACAATCGTTTTATTTACGCAGCATCGCAGCTTTGTCACATGTTCGTCGGTTTAACGTCCATTTCTTCTCACGGCGCTCGTATCCAACTGTTCGTCAGTGGTCGATGACTCCGTCCGCTCCGTCGACACGTTTAAATAAAGCTTTTTTCAACACGCTACTCGATGTCCCGTGACAATCGTTTGAGGGCTCCTCCTCTGTGGACAACGGTGAGGCCACAGGTCACTGCAGCATGACATCACCGTAGAAACACCATGGTAACAAGACCTGCAAGACAACCACAGCATCACTGCTTCATTCTCTACCTCCTCATTTCCTTTTCTGCCTCCGTCTCTGTATGTTTTTGTGTACTTCTGAAACTTCAACTTCTCGTTCCCTTATCCACCATCTCATTTCCTTTTCTACCTCCTCATCTCCTTCGTTTTCCCTCCAACTACATTCTTGTTTCCTTTTCATTCCTGCCCTTCTCTCCTAATTCCTTCTCTATATCTAGTTTCTTTTCCGCTTCCTTATTTCCTTTTCTATTTTCTTGTTTGCTTCTTTATCACCACATTTCCTTCTGAGACTCCTTCCTTTCTGCTCTGACTTCTCATTTCCTTAACTGTCCCTAGATTCCTCCTTTCTTCACCTATAACTGTTCTTCTCTACTTCCTTGTTTCCTTCTCTATCTCCTTCAATTCTTTACTTTCTTTCTTTACTTTTCCACTGTCTCATTTCCTCCCTGCCTCCCCTCTCTCTCAGCTTATACAGACGTGTGTGTGTGTGTGCGTGGTGTTACCCAGTGTGTAGGCGCAGACCAGCTTCTGATTGGTGGAGACGTGCAGCCAGCGTGGAACCAGCGAGTTGCTGTCAGTGTGCAGGGGGAGCATCAACACTGTGACACACAGCACCGCCACAGCCACACACACGGCCCACTGAGACGCGCTGCGCACAGCTGCAGACACACACACAGAAACATCATCAGTAAGATCAACTCTGCACCCGCGAATGCACTGCTGCAGGAACCAATCAGAGCACTCCACGGTGCCTTACCTGTGCAGGCAGGCAGGTGTGCCTGTGTGGGCAGGAGCTGAGAAGTAGGACGGGGCGGCGCCCTTTGTTGACCTCCTCTTTGCTCCTCTTCCTCTTGTCCTCCTCTAAGCTCCGCCCAAATCTCCCGTCGTCCCACCTGGCCTCCGCCCCTCACCTCCATGCGGAACCGGTCCCTGCGGCCCCAGTTTCTGGGGGAGACGTCCAGGTGACGCACGACCCTGACAGGATAACGAAATACTTGATTGCATGTGAGCGTCGTTATGGATTAAGTTTTAAATAAAGTTTGAAACACTCACAGGTCGACGCAGGACTTGGCCCGGATGTTGCCCTCTGCCTCCACCACCCTGTAGAACGAGGGCGCCGTGCAC